ATCCAGATGTAAACAGCTGGTTTGTCTCAAAAAATGTTAAAATATTATGGCTATTTTGATCGATAGAGGTCGCCAGTTACTTAGTCAACTAAGGCTCTTCAGAGAGTCACTTCATTGGTTGGTTCTGGCACTTGCTGGTCCATCATGTTCAGAGACATTTGGGACAAGAAAAAATAAGAATGTCTGAGAAAACAAAAATTATGAATCTAGTTTAAAAGTATGTGCTATGGTATTCAAATGTACATTATTCAGTAATATCAATAAGTTTTTCTTAAGGTTGCTGTAATTTGCCTGAACAAAATATGTTTTTTTAAACGTAGCCTATGACATTGAAAAAAACAAAAACAGAAACTGAAAGTATTTTCATCATAGATCATAGTTTTTTTGTTTTTGAATAACACAGAAGATAGAAAATGTTGCTAGAAATGTTGACTGAATAAACTCTGAATAATAGGTAAATGTTAGTATTATTAATCCCAGTGTACTACAGGAGAGTAGGCTATTCAAATTATGCATAAAAATTTATTTGGTTGACATTTGTTTTCTATGCATGTATGTATGTAATAGGTTGAGATGGACGTGTCTGGCCATAGTTTGTTCCTCCTGCAGCAGCTGAATGTCCAAAGGGAGTTTGGCTTTCTGTGTGACTGCACTGTTGCAATTGGCAATGTATACTTCAAGGCTCATCGTGCAGTCCTTGCTGCCTTCTCAAACTATTTTAAAATGATCTTCATCCACCAGTCCAGGTTAGCAAAAACTCCATTTTGAAATGTATCTTGAAGTGTACGGGTCACCCATCATGCTTACTCTGCTAATCAAATAAGCATGGGGAGGAAGTCAAGATAGCTTGATTGATAAACATTAAAAGTTGTAGCATATTAATAATAATGCTAAATATATTCCAAATGCTTAATAACCATACTTTAAAAGAAATAATAAATTGCTGATTGTATTTTTAATTACTTTCCTGCTTTTTCAGTGAGTGCATCAAGATCCAGCCCACAGATATTCAACCAGATGTCTTCAGCTACCTGTTACACATCATGTACACAGGCATGGGTCCCAAACAACCCGTTGACCAGGGCAGACTTCAAGAAGGCATCAAGTTCCTCCACGCGTACCAGCTCTGCCGCAAAACAGGCGAAGGCGGCCTTGATATATCTTCTGAGCCTATCCGTATGTCCAACCTGTATGGCATCCAGATCTCTTCACAGCTGGCCAGTAAAGAGAACTCTGGCCTGAAGGCTGGCGGTTCACGGGACCCTGAGGATGGCCGCTCCAGCACTAGGGCCGACCGCACACATGGCCGTTTAGCTCTCGCTGTAGGGCTGGAGGGCATTACGTCTGAGCGACAGCCTCAAAGCTTCCACGCCGCGTCCTCGGTGGCCTCGGGGGACGACTCTGACATTTCAGCACGGATCAAACAGGAAAGGGTAGAGGATGAAGAACAACAGGAAGGCGAAAAAGAGCCTTGCTCTCTCTCCCCAGCCCAGGTGAGTCTGGGTCTGTTCAAAGATGGCCCTCTAGCGCTTTTATGCCCCCGCTGCGGTGAACGCTGTCTGTCACCTGAAGGCCTGCAAGAGCACCTATTTACCCACGCAGCCTGTGCCCTTGAGCCTAGCGGTCTGATGGAAGGCCCTTCAGAGGACAAAACCGGGGAGGAGAGGCGGCCTCATAAGGAGCGCATAGACTCTGGTAGTCTGGAGGAGGCCTTACGGCAGAGTCAGGCCCTGGCAGATGAGCTGGCCGTGGAGCTCAGGCGAGGTGGTGGGACCGGACGGAGTGGCAGCCCGTTGGCAGCCTTCACGCGAAAACGAAAGATGGCCTGTGCCGTCTGCAACCTTCACTTCTCACAGAAGAGCCAGCTGCAGGAGCACATGTTCGCACATGTGGGCAAGCCGCTGCGATACCATCGCTACAGCCGCTTCTGCGGGCAGCTGCTCCATGGCTGCGAGGGCCAGCCAGATATTACCACAGCCACGGGAGAGGAGGCAGCCAAAGACACTCAGGATAACGTCAGCTCCTGCTACTCACTGGACTCTGAGGTCTCTCAGGAGAGCGTGGATGCAGTGACTGTGGAATGACGTAGCGTTTGACATGTATTCATGCGAACACACAATGTCTGTTAAAGGAATTTTCTTAGTATATCTATAACTTAATACATTAGAACAAGTTAAGCTCTGTCGAAAGCATTTGTGGTAGATTGATTACAACAAATATTAATTTCCACCTGCCCCTCATTTTCTTAAAAAAAAAAGGAGCAAAAATCTTGGTTACAGTGAGGCATTTACAGTAGAATAGGGCCAATCTGTAAAAATTTAAATACTCATTGTTTCAATAAGACATAAGCAAACATGATTTTAATTTGTTAAAAAAATCTATTTTCTGTGTAAAGATGTATCCAATTTTACAACCTCCATGACAACATAAAGGCCAAAGTACACTTCAGTTTTTATGCATACACTGGAGTATGCGTACAGTGCTTGTGACATAATACTTAATTTTTAACAGAATAATGTATTTTTCTGCTTTTAATTCGTCTAAAATTGGTCCCCATTCATTTAAATTCCAATGTGCCTTGCGATAACCTCAATTTTTGCTTTTTTTTAAAAACAGGGCGAGCCAAAATTATTTTGTGTCAATCAACATTATTCTTCAAATACTGTCGATTGAGCTTAACTTTTATTAAACCCGTAATTTTCCTTTACCTAATTTTGTTTTCTGCCTCAGCACTTCTGTCCAGTCACAAAAGTCCTTGTCAGTGTTAAAACATATACGAATTATGTTTAAAGTGTTGATGATTGTAATGTTGTTGTATAATGATGTTGCTGACTCTTGGATGACTGAACACTGTTGGATCAATTATATATTTAAAGGAAGTATTAGATTGAAAAGCACATGCGCATGAAACTCAAATAGCACTATGAAGTGCCACATTTGACCACAATCAAAATATAAATTTTTTTCAGAGGCCAGCTTAAGCTAATAACATGATTATTTCTTGTTTATTTTTGGGTTGTGGCCTAACGAGTGAAACTGACTGACCGTAGAGTCTAAATGATTTCTTCCCTAAATATAAGACTAGAAGAAACTGGTTCAGTGCCTTAGAACATTTTTGCCAAACATCTCTGTTAAGAAAAGCACTTAAACTATTGCTCAGCCAGTTGAACCAAATCCAGCTGTTTTTTCATTTTTCAAGTTAAGTGAACAGTGCCTATTTGTGCAAAGTTGTCCAAGACATCTACACAATCAGAATATTCTATCAAATGAATGTGTGCAACTGGTGCTTTTCTAAAAGTTTTTTAATATGTTGAAAGTCTTTCACAATTATATTGTGTATGGAACACAGAGTATAATCCAAGTTTGCTAACAATCTTACTACATAAACCAAGACATAACTACAAAGATGGGACAATGCCACTGTAAATGTCTAATATAACACTTTTTGACAAAATAGCAATGGCACATTCAGTGATGTTTCAAAAGCAGACAGGTCATTTTCAAAAGCTGAGACATGACAAAATGTTTTATTTAGAATGATTTATAAATTTCAAGACATCACTAATGGTAGACATGGTTTCTTTGTGCTGTATTTGAACTGTCGAAGCACCATTTTTTAGTTATATTCATTGAATACTCAAAATCGAGGCTGGTGTACTGTGACGAGTATTTTAAAACAGCAAAACTTGCATTTGTGTTATTTGTGTGACTTGTGTAGTGCATTTAAACAGTCCTTTTCGATTTTATTCACCAACAGCCCTCAGTGCCATTGTGTGATAATGTGTTTGGGTATTTTTTTTTTAAATAAATGGCATATTGAATAAACTGTTTTATAATGCATCTGCTTTGGTCATATACTTGTCATTGGTTTCCTTGGCACTGACTGGGGATTGTTCACCTCAAATGAAATTCATAAGTCATTATTTACTCACCCTCATGTCATTCCAAACCGGTGTATACATTTTTTTTTTGGTCTTTACAATGAAAGTCAATGGAGTTCAGTGTAGTTTTGGTCCCCACTGACTTTCACTGTGGACAAAAATTGTTGAAACATTATTCAACATATTCTCTTTTGTTTTTCCCAGAGGATGATAATGTGTTTGGGTATTTTTTTTTTTAAATAAATGGCATATTGAATAAACTGTTTTATAATGCATCTGCTTTGGTCATATACTTGTCATTGGTTTCCTTGGCACTGACTGGGGATTGTTCACCTCAAATGAAATTCATAAGTCATTATTTACTCACCCTCATGTCATTCCAAACTGGTGTATACATTTTTTTTTGGTCTTTACAATGAAAGTCAATGGAGTTCAGTGTAGTTTTGGTCCCCACTGACTTTCACTGTGGACAAAAATTGTTGAAACATTATTCAACATATTCTCTTTTGTTTTTCCCAGAGGAAAAAAAATCATACAGGTTTGTAACAACATGAAGGTAAGTAAACCATGACAATTTTCATTTTTGCTGAACTATCCCATAATTGACAGTCTCGTAGTAACATCTCAATGCCACAAGAGAGTAGCATGTAGTCACAAAAGCAAACATAATCTCTGCTGTCAACTCTGTGTAGTCATTATCTTTAAGCGTAACTCCCAAGCTTGAGATGTACAGTATACAGTGACTAAACATCTAACAATTTCACTGAAGGCTTCAGTCAGGGCCTCATTTAAATCTGAAAAGAGCATCCTATATGCACATGGGTACTTCTCAGCCCACATATTTTCATTAAAAACGTTGCCCTAAATGTTGATGGAAAGCAGTTTCACACAACATATCATAAGCATGTGGCTTGTTGCCTTCTCAGAGTCGTGTGGGATATTCATTGCTATAGAAACTAGACTGCAGTGACACTGCCATATAAAAAATAGGAAAAATAGAAGGTAACATTAATGAATATATGACAAAAGTTAATCATGCAAGTACAAACTTACAGCATTAAAATGACATAAAATTACAAACTTTTCCACAATCCGATATCAATAATAAACATTACAATTGTTTGTTTATACACACCAATTCCTCCTCGTTTTTTCCCATCTGTTACACACAGCTTTATTTATACCATCATAGAGAAATATGAAACCATTTGCTGAATAAAGAATATAGATATGTGTGGTTACGCATGATCCAAACTTATCTGATTGTGCTGCTGTTCGATTGTGAGTTGCTCCACAGCGCCACGAATGGCTGCTTGCACCATTGAAATTGCCGTCTGAATCAGTAAGGTCTCATTACAATGGCTGTGGTCCAGTTCAGGAGACATATTTAGGTCAGAAGGATGCAGTGTGTTGCTTGTTAGCCTGTTTATTCTTAAATGTTGCCAGGATCCATTCACTGTGAGACCATCAAACTGAGGCGTCTCATTTATGTTCTCTTCCTCTGATGAATATGCTTGCTCTATAGTAATCACTGGCTTGCATTTGACATAATTTTTAATAGGCTTCTCAATTAAGACTAGCAGATCACCACCTGATGATGTGCCTGGAAACTCACTGCAACATTCAGAATCCAAAACACCATTTGTTTTTAATACCTGGTTTTCTTTTTTATTTATATTAACATCTTGGTCAATGCATATTTCCTTATTCTCATCCATGTGGTCAGACTCAATATGTGTGTTAACGCTCACCTCTGCACTGAATGTAAATGTCTCTGGAATGCTTTCCGCTTTTATGTCTTGTTCTTCCTTTTGGTTCTCTTCTTTTTCTATACTGGAACTGTCCAAAGCAGCCTCAGGTGATTGATTCAGTTGATCAGTTTCTTCTTTTTGTGATTGCTTGGGAGCATTATACTCAAACTGATCATTATGATATGCTTTCTTCTTTTTTGGAAAGATGCGGTAGATCTTTTTAAATGTCAAACCTTTTGTTGCCGTTATCTCCTGAAAAACCATGCTATTGTCTTGCTCTCGACATCCCCTTCCTAGATTGACATTGGATGTGGTAGATCTCTTACAAAGGGGCCATACTGTAAAGAAAGGCCTAGTTTTACTTGTCCCATTAGGAACTTCCTTGATTACATCCCTCAGTTTATTCTCATCCATGGAGTTACACATACTGTGTTGAGCTTTGTTTCTGTTTTTCTTTGTTTTTTGAGGATTCAAAGTCTCGTTTTCTGTTCTCTCCGATTCCTCCCTTTTTCCACACCTGAAGAGTGAGGAAAACATCCTTTTAATGGATGTTTTTGAAGTGCTTCTGGTCATTTTTGTTTTACTTTCCATATTTTCATCTTTGCTTTCACTATGCTCCAATGTTACAAGAATTCCTGAGGTATCTCCTGGAGCATCTGGCTGGGTTTCCTTCTCCTCTGAGGGGTTTTCTGGGCTGTGGTGGGTAATAAGTGAGGATTCATTTCCATAATTTTCTTGATCATTATTCTCCGCTGTGCTATCACAACTTGTACCTTGTCTTTGCCTTCTCTGAGATTTACCTTCCAGTTTCTCCCTTGATTTTGACTTCCCCAGCAAAAGTCTCGGTGGACCCGTCAGTTTTCTCTTCAAACCCCCCCTCTCCTGACTGTCGGGTAATTCTGTCTCTTGTGTGGACATGGTTAATCAAACTGTACCAAAGTCAATAATCGTCCAAACTGACAATACTGGATCAATTACCCAAGCGGGTGTTTTCTCTGCTTACATATTGTCAGTTTAAAGATGTGGAGATGCTGCAAACCAACACAAAACATTGTCTTGGTGAAGTTAAAGGTTTTCTGTATTTCATTTGTTGATTGAAACATATCTATTGCCTGATTTGTGTTCAGTAATAAGCTTTTCGATATAGGCTATTGTTAATTTGAAATGTTTATATTTTGATCATACTGAGAGATGACATCTGCAATGTGCTACAATGTTTATAGCACAAACAACATGAACTCACACTGGGTGTGACACCAGTGAATAGTCTCATTAAAAACATAATTTTGGCTATATAAAGAATTCAAAAGGCGTTTTGCTAACAGTAAAAGTGAACTAAACACAATTAAGGGCAAATAATAACTCTATCTCCCAACACTTTAAATGATAGGCTACAGGAATAAATCTATCTCAGTGCAAAGTCAAAACTCGAAGGCTATTCCGATAAAACCCTATTTTGTTTGTGACGTCTGTAAATTTGAGACGAATGCTAACGGTCCTTACTTTAACTTAATCTATATGGTTATTAAAGATAACTCAGAACAGCATGTTAACTAATATTTAAAAAGTCCTACAACAATGTACTAATTAATAATAAGTTAAAACACCTACCAGTAAAGCACAGAGCACGACGTAAACTATTTTCACGGTTGTCTGGGGCGATGAGATTCCAAGAGCGTTTATAAATCCCCTCACAGATCTGCCGCGCTTAGAGACTTGCGCCGACTCACTGCACTTTACGCGCCTAACTGTTTCCATGACGACCAGCTGATTGACGGTTTCCGTGAGCGTGCCGATCACCCATCCAATCAACACGGAGAAGGCTCTGCTAATGTGAAGATATTATTGATATCCATCACGGCGACCATACACACTCGCCATACACAATTTCCTGACACGTTTTCCCCACCCTTATCCATAAAAAAAAGTCGGGGGGAAAAAAACACTAAAAAGAAGGCAACTAGTAGCCTACTTTTGGCCCCTGAAAAGCGTTTCACACTTCCGTTAGTTTAATTTAGGCTATCTACTTACAATGTTCAAAATGTCCAATTAATGGTTAGTGTACATCGTTTTCAAATCATTTTGAATATTTGATAATATGACAACTTAACTGGAAATTATGAGTAATATATTTGGTTTATGTGATAATTAGGCTACCTTGTTTTTTCTTAGCACATTAAATGCCTGCATTTCATCTCATAACTGGCAAATTTGTCTCCTTGGTTACCAAGCATTCTAAGTTTTGTTCATTTATTTTCTATTTAGAATGTTGGTCCTGATGAAAATTATGCCAAAACAAGGGACAATTATAATCGTCATAAATTGTTATAAATAATGTGTTTAAAAACTGATTATTGTGACACGTACACACACGCACATACACACAAGTTGGGTTTCCATGTTTTATGGGGACATTCCATAGGCGTAATGGTTTTTATACTGTACAAACAGTATTTTCATTACCTTACACGTAAACCTAGCCCTTACAGGAAACTTTCTGCATTTTTAGATTTTCAAAAAACTTCACTCTGTATGATTTATAAGATCGTTTCCTCATGGGGGCCAAAAATGTCCATACAAGGACAAGGTTTTTGGATATTGCCATCTTTGTTGGGGACATTTTCCATCACGGCGACCATACACACTCGCCATACACAATTTCCTGACACGTTTTCCCCACCCTTATCCATAAAAAAAAGTCGGGGGGAAAAAAACACTAAAAAGAAGGCAACTAGTAGCCTACTTTTGGCCCCTGAAAAGCGTTTCACACTTCCGTTAGTTTAATTTAGGCTATCTACTTACAATGTTCAAAATGTCCAATTAATGGTTAGTGTACATCGTTTTCAAATCATTTTGAATATTTGATAATATGACAACTTAACTGGAAATTATGAGTAATATATTTGGTTTATGTGATAATTAGGCTACCTTGTTTTTTCTTAGCACATTAAATGCCTGCATTTCATCTCATAACTGGCAAATTTGTCTCCTTGGTTACCAAGCATTCTAAGTTTTGTTCATTTATTTTCTATTTAGAATGTTGGTCCTGATGAAAATTATGCCAAAACAAGGGACAATTATAATCGTCATAAATTGTTATAAATAATGTGTTTAAAAACTGATTATTGTGACACGTACACACACGCACATACACACAAGTTGGGTTTCCATGTTTTATGGGGACATTCCATAGGCGTAATGGTTTTTATACTGTACAAACAGTATTTTCATTACCTTACACGTAAACCTAGCCCTTACAGGAAACTTTCTGCATGTTTAGATTTTCAAAAAACTTCACTCTGTATGATTTATAAGATCGTTTCCTCATGGGGGCCAAAAAATGTCCATACAAGGACAAGGTTTTTGGATATTGCCATCTTTGTTGGGGACATTTTGTATACCTGAACCACACACACACACACACATACACGCACACAATTTTATATATATATATATATATATTCCATGGTCTGTCGAAATACTGGATTCTGATTGGCTGGCAGGTATGCAGTAAACCCATTTAATGCAATGTACAGGTAGTAAAGAACTGTTATGTTTTGGGGTGTATATATAAACACATAACAGTTCTTTACATTTTTGTTTAGAAAATCATATTTTTAAAATAAAAATAAAATGTTTTAGTGATGGAGATCAACTCCAAAATAAATAAAAAAATCGGGTTAAATTTGCAGGCTACACTCTAAAGAATAAAGGTTCTTTATTGGTATTGATGGCTCCATCCATTCCTTTCCATTCCACCAAAGGGTCTGGAAAAAGGTTGGTTATATTATTAAAATATTCTTCACACTAAGAAATAAAATAGTTATTTTAAGAACTGTTCCTTGAAAAGTTCTTTGTGGAACCAAAAATGATTTTTTCCTATTGCATCACTACGAAATCTTCCTTTTGGAACCTTTATTTTTAAGAGTAACTGTTATTCTATGATACATAATGACTGAAAATCTAATCTGGAATTAAATGAAATGTCCGTGATGAGTAGATGGCACACAGAAATTAATTTGTCATTTGGAGGCTTGCTTGATGTTTGCAAAAGACAACTGTGCAAATATGACCTGTTATCTTATTTTCCCAGGGTCTAATCTATATCTATGTCAGTAGCAGACATTTCCTTATGGACCTTTTATTCGGGCAGCAGCCTTTTTATCATTCAGGCATGTTTTAAACTTCGTTCAGAAGAGGGATTGCTTCTTTCACTCAGGATATATACGACAAGTCTTGACATCTCATGCATGAAATGTTATTTCAAGCTCAAAGCCACCAATGCTAATGCTCAGTGACGTTAGGTCCCAGAGGTATGAGGAAAATATGCCCTTGAAAGCCGCACCAGAACACCAAAAACATACAAAGTACTCAACAAAGCTACCACATAAATGTATTTAGGTCTGGTGGAGTTTACACCGGTTCACTTGAATAGGCTGCCTCATACTGATAAACCTGGTGGCAATGTCTTGAACTAACCCCTGAATCAAACAGGCCAGATGCACACTCAGTATCCCACTTAGCAAATATGGCTCTATTTTCATGGTGACAGACCCATTCAACATTAATTTTACAAAGCGCAAATATGTAAATATATAAAATACTTTTATATGAGTTTCTGTAAGTATCTGCATACAAAGGTGTTTAACATGTCTATGTATGAATGTAATAACATTTTAAACCAAATTAAAACATAAACCAGCAATCCTTTGTTAAAATAGGACTCCGAAATGTTGGGTTTCATTTTTGATTAGCTCAAATTCAATATCAGCACAGCATGGTATACGCACATGTTTTTACCCCATAGAAACAGAATGCTTTTCTAGTCACACAGCTTCAGATAACTGTAAGGGACACATTGACAGTGATCATTGACTACTGGACAGCAGCAATGGCTGCTGGATAACGTGTATTGAAGAAGAGGCTAAAAATAAACTGGACTAACAAGCTGGACAAATATACAATTATCTAATTATAGTCTACAATCAGGTTGGCAAGCTTAGTATCTATAGCAACTGGAAACTTCATTAAAGGCTAAGCCAAGATTTTATTGGAGTCAAATAAGACAGCATATAGATAGAGTAAACATATAGACATTGCGCTATCTCATATAGTCACATATTATCTATAAAATCAAACGTGGCTTTCAATAATACTGGCAAACGTTAGCGTAATAGGAAAAATACTGACAGACAATTGGTTCTGTGTTGCTAAAGCTCAGTCATGGCTAAAATATCATATGGATCAAGAATCACAGCGTAATAACTGAGATCTGGAGTGAATTTATAAAATACAGAGCAACATCATTTGTCTTTTACAAATTTACACTTCATACAGTGAAAAAGACATAATTAGTTGCTTTTATAGCAAATAAAAAACAGCAGTTGCATGAAAATACTATACATGGTGATCATACAGAGCTAGAATATGATGCCACTATTTGACTTAAGAGTATTTGTAGGTTTTAGAAATCATTTAGCCATGTTAAAAAGAAAACTGTTTCTTTCCACTTACTAAAAGTTTGATTGGCCATTAATTAAACCAATTTCAGCTTGGCCATCTTAGTGAGTAACCATTGCACTACTTGCTGGAACTGTAAAGGTTGTTGCCATGGAAACAAGGCCATATGGGATCATCCATTTCCGTATTTGTCTGTTGGAGAGTTTGAAGAAATTAGTCAATCTGGTGTTATCATGGAGGAGTTATTTTGCTGTCTTAATAATACACCCAATTATGTTTTTTCCCCTAAGACAAAAAAAGCTAGCTGAAGCAATGAACATAATTTTTTTAAATAAAAACAGTCCAACGAGCTAAACAAAATCATGCTGAGCCAAGTTACGAAACCGCATATGAAAATGACTGCTACCCTGAAGAGCAGTTTAATAAATTGACTTACATTTGTAATCTGTAATAAACAAAAATGTTGGATAAGGTCACTTGGACCACCAGTGGATTTTGTTGAACAGCTCATTTTCAGCACAGGCATGCAGCCTAGCAACGTGTCTGGATAAAAATATCCAAAACATGTGTGACCAAATATTCTCTCTTTCTTTTCTGCACTGTAGGCTGAACCGATGAGTGACTGACTGAGGGGGACAGAAATAAACCAATGGCATCATCTGATTAGAGGTCAACAACCTCAGTGTTCATGTAATCTCATCATTTTATCTTCCTTTAGTGTGTTCAGCCAGTAATCATTAACAATGCTTGACAACAACAATCACTTGCTATTATATTTTTCCTTCCTCAGGTATGGGGAGATGGTGTAATGTGATTGGGCTCATTTGATGCAGTTATGTACACCACCAGTTAAAAGTATAAATTTGATTTGTGTCTTATGTTTCTGTTTAAATTAGTTTCGGAGACACATATCAGTTGTAAATTATGATGCCGAACAAGTGACTAAAAATAATAAATTTGAATATAGTCTCATACACTACCATTAAAACATTTGGAGATTTTTTTATATTTTTGAAAAGTCTCTAACGCTTACCAAATCTGGATTTATTTGATCAAAACTACAGTAAAAGCAGTAGCATTGTGAAATGTGATTACAATTTAAATTGGTTGTTTGCCATTTTAATAAATTTTAAAATGTATTATATTCCTGTGATGGCAAAGCTGAATTTTCAGCATCATTACTCCAGTCTTCAGTGTCACATGATGCTTTAGAAATACTTCTAATATGCTGATGTGGTGCTCAAGAAACAGTTCTTATTATTATCAGTGTCTAAACAGTTGCACAGCTTAATATTTTTGTGGAAGCTGGGATAATTATTTCTCAGAATTGTTTAAAGTTCAAAAGATCAGCATTTATTTGAAACAGATTTTTTGTAACAGTGTCTTCACTTTTGTCATCGCTTTTTCACTTTAATTAACAAATTCCTTGTTAATAATAAAACAAAAATCATGCTGACCTCAGATTTAGAACGTGAGTATTAATATATCTAGTTCTAATATTATATATATAGATATGGAGTATAAAGCTCACCGATTCAGTCAGACAGCAGAGAAAACCTGCTCCAGCATTGGCCTTGATATCAGTTATGGGCAGCATGAAGTTCGACATAGGGTCATTACTCAAGGACAGGCGTGTCTTAGCTATGCAAACTGGCAAATTCCCAAAGTCCTTTAAAAAAGGAAAAACAAAGATGATGAAAAAAAGAAGTGGAATAAGAGAGAATGTTCCACTCTGCCTCAGGTAGACAGGCATACATAACAAACTCATTCTTTCAACTCTGTTACACAAAATTTTCCATCCACAATATGTCATACAATGTTTTATTTAAAAACTCTGAGTTGCTTCTACCAATTAGTACAACCCATATCAATTAACAGAGTATTAGTATTAAAGTATATACTGTATTTGATGACAAACATCTCATTAATAAAGTATGTTCTATAAGTAAACAAATATCGGAGAGTTTTATGAATACTATTTCTTAGTCTGCTATATGTATATATAATTAAACAGAATTATAATGAAAATGAAGCTTACCTGTTTTGTATAAAGCGCAAGCTTTTCTTTTGCTTTTGGAGACAGCTCGATATCTTTTGCACCATACATCTTTTGTGCCACAGTCCTTAACTTATCGGCAGCTGGAATCTGAAAATAGCCATTTATCTGTTTAATAATGCATTAGTATGAATAATGGATTTTGGCTTTATTCCACCAGTGGAACCTTTCTATACTTAATACATACAGACTTCCTCCTAGCCTTAATTTGCTATGAAAAGTTTTCATGCTGGTTATATTTAGGCCTTGTCAATTAAAAAGATTTCATGCATTATAAAGTCATTGGCTGCTAATGAAACAGCTCTATATATAAAGTGTTAATTGAGCTCAGAATATGTGTGGGAAAGAAGAGCACAAAGACACTGGGTAATGAAAAATCCAGAGTGAAAGTAAAATTGCTCCTCTGTGTACTTGTATAAGGAATTTAATGATGCCACAAACAAATATCCTTTCACTTCCTCTAACACCTAGTTATTCAGCTGATGCTTTTACACAAAGCAAAGTACAGTACATTTAGTATCAGTTTCAGTTGTAAAAGTGGCATTTAAAGCTAAATTTTTTTAAGTTGCCAGTGCAAATCTTACCCACTACACTCTTAAAAATAAAGGTGCTTCAAATGGTTCTTCAAGCGATGCCATAGAAGAACCATTTTTGGTTCCACAAAGAACCATTCAGTCAAAGGTTCTTTAAAGAACCATCTCTTTCTTACCTTTTTATAATCTGAAGAACCTTCTTTCGCCACAAAGAACCTTTTGTGAAACAGAAAGGTTCTTCAGATGTTAAAGGTTCTTTATGGAACCATTTAGACAAAAAGGTTCTTCTATGGCATCGTGAAGCACCTTTATTTTTAAGAGTGTATGCCACTTCTCACCTGTGGGTCGTAGAGGAACCTGAACTGTCCAGGTAGTTTAGCTGCTCTCTGAACAGCTTCTGCCAGAGCCAGCGCTCCAGCGCCACCATCAGACCAGTTAGTACACTGCACTGCTTCAAAGGCTCCAGCCTGCCTGGCCTGGCCACACACCAGCTCCAGCTCAGCGCGAGTATCAGAGCTACGCCAAATACAATCAGAGCCCATTTTCACACACATTCACTCAGAGTAGGAGTACTGTGTGTGGTTCAGTTTGGCTCGTGAGCTCGTAAAATGTAATTATTAGATTATAATTAGAGATACTGTATATGAGTGAAAAAGCATAAAATTGTACATATGGGTAATAATCCCCGCCGTGACCCTGCAGAAGATAAAGCGGTATGGAAAATGGATGGATGGATATTGATAATAATGTGTGACTAGTTACAATTAGCTAGACAAAATACACACAGACAGCACTTTTGGTTTGCTGTTTGATATTGTACCTGAATTTGTTGACACCTACAATCACTGGCAAACCAAATGCTTGTGCATTTTCCACCTGTCTCTTCAGATGACAACAGCCTCTCTCCAGCTGCTTTAGGTTCTGCTTTGCAGAAAATATCTCATGTAAAATATACTAAACTCATCCACTCACTTTCAGAAATGTCATTCAAATTTTCTTGCAGTAATATGGCTTAACCCTTACAAATATGACCATTCAGAATTGTACATAAAAAGGTTACACAACTTGAAAGAGTGTACTACCTCCTGTGAATACTCTTTTGGAAGGGGCAAAACAGCTTGGACCTATAAACAAGAAAGAAAACAAGTGTAAAGACAATGTGAGATATTGCCTCTGTGAGAACAAGCACAAGAGTGCTTAATAAGCACAATCTATGTGTTATAGGCTCAAGTGAATATATAATGAAAAGCTGTCTATACATTTTGTGGGTCTGACTCACAGGGGGGGCACCACCATGCATCTTCAGGGTACGAACAGTGGCCACCATCACTACCACATCTGGCCGCAGGTCTGAGCAGCGACATTTAATGTTGAAAAATTTCTCCAAGCCAATGTCAGCCCCGTGACCAGACTCAGTGACTGCAAAGACAGGAAAGAGTAGATTAGACAGAGTTTGAATATTGTGACGACTTGTGCATTCGTTTTTGTTGTTTCTATTACACAAACCTAAACCTAGATGTGATAATACACCACGGTTCAAAAGTCAACAAAATGCAACAAGGTTGCGCACCAAGGCCCAAAAACACAGTAAAACCAGCAATATTGTGGAATATTATTACAATTTAAAATTGTATTTAAAATCCGGTTTCTATTTGAATCAATTTTAAAATGCAATATATTCCTGTGATGGCAAATCTGAATTTTCAGCAGCCATTACTCCAGTCTTCAGTGTCATGATCCTTCAGAAAACTTTCTAATATGCTGATTTGTTGTTCAGGAAACTTTTTTTTTTCAATTGCACTATTAAAAAACATATTTACTGTCACTATTGATCATTTAATGTGTCCTTGCTGAATAAAATAGTTCATTTTTATCTACACTCTTAAAAATAAAGGTGCTTCAAATGGTTCTTCAAGCGATGCCATAGAAGAACCATTTTTGGTTCCACAAAGAACCATTCAGTCAAAGGTTCTTTAAAGAACCATCTCTTTCTTACCTTTTTATAATCTGAAGAACCTTCTTTCGCCACAAAGAACCTTTTGTGAAACAGAAAGGTTCTTCAGATGTTAAAGGTTCTTTATGGAACCATTTAGACAAAAAGGTTCTTCTATGGCATCGTGAAGCACCTTTATTTTTAAGAGTGTATGCCACTTCTCACCTGTGGGTCGTAGAGGAACCTGAACTGTCCAGGTAGTTTAGCTGCTCTCTGAACAGCTTCTGCCAGAGCCAGCGCTCCAGCGCCACCATCAGACCAGTTAGTACACTGCACTGCTTCAAAGGCTCCAGCCTGTCTGGCCTGGCCACACACCAGCTCCAGCTCAGCGCGAGTATCAGAGCTACGCCAAATACAATCAGAGCCCATTTTCACACACATTCACTCAGAGTAGGAGTACTGTGTGTGGTTCAGTTTGGCTCGTGTAATTATTAGATTATAATTAGAGATACTGTATATGAGTGAAAAAGCATAAAATTGTACATATGGGTAATAATCCCCGCCGTGACCCTGCAGAAGATAAAGCGGTATGGAAAATGGATGGATGGATATTGATAATAATGTGTGACTAGTTACAATTAGCTAGACAAAATACACACAGACAGCACTTTTGGTTTGCTGTTTGATATTGTACCTGAATTTGTTGACACCTACAATCACTGGCAAACCAAATGCTTGTGCATTTTCCACCTGTCTCTTCAGATGACAACAGCCTCTCTCCAGCTGCTTTAGGTTCTGCTTTGCAGAAAATATCTCATGTAAAATATACTAAACTCATCCACTCACTTTCAGAAATGTCATTCAAATTTTCTTGCAGTAATATGGCTTAACCCTTACAAATATGACCATTCAGAATTGTACATAAAAAGGTTACACAACTTGAAAGAGTGTACTACCTCCTGTGAATACTCTTTTGGAAGGGGCAAAACAGCTTGGACCTATAAACAAGAAAGAAAACAAGTGTAAAGACAATGTGAGATATTGCCTCTGTGAGAACAAGCACAAGAGTGCTTAATAAGCACAATCTATGTGTTATAGGCTCAAGTGAATATATAATGAAAAGCTGTCTATACATTTTGTGGGTCTGACTCACAGGGGGGGCACCACCATGCATCTTCAGGGTACGAACAGTGGCCACCATCACTACCACATCTGGCCGCAGGTCTGAGCAGCGACATTTAATGTTGAAAAATTTCTCCAAGCCAATGTCAGCCCCGTGACCAGACTCAGTGACTGCAAAGACAGGAAAGAGTAGATTAGACAGAGTTTGAATATTGTGACGACTTGTGCATTCGTTTTTGTTGTTTCTATTACACAAACCTAAACCTAGATGTGATAATACACCACGGTTCAAAAGTCAACAAAATGCAACAAGGTTGCGCACCAAGGCCCAAAAACACAGTAAAACCAGCAATATTGTGGAATATTATTACAATTTAAAATTGTATTTAAAATCCGGTTTCTATTTGAATCAATTTTAAAATGCAATATATTCCTGTGATGGCAAATCTGAATTTTCAGCAGACATTACTCCAGTCTTCAGTGTCATGATCCTTCAGAAAACTTTCTAATATGCTGATTTGTTGTTCAGGAAACTTTTTTTTTTCAATTGCACTATTAAAAAACATATTTACTGTCACTATTGATCATTTAATGTGTCCTTGCTGAATAAAATAGTTCATTTTTGAAACTTTTGAACAGTAGTGTATTTATGCAGAATGTACAGCATTACAGAATTATAAGCAAATGTGTTAATATATATATACAGTGGGTACGGAAAGTATTCAGACCCCCTTAAATTTTTCACGCTTTGTTATATTGCAGCCATTTGCTAAAATCATTTAAGTTAATTTTTTTTCCTCATTAATGTACACACAACACCCCATATCGACAGAAAAACACAGAATTGTTGACATTTTTGCAGATTTATTAAAAAAGAAAAACTGAAATATCACATGGTCCTAAGTATTCAGAACCTTTGCTGTGACACTCATATATTTAACTCAGGTGCTGTCCATTTCTTCTGATCATTCTTGAGATGGTTCTCCACCTTCATTTGAGTCCAGCTGTGTTTGATTATACTGATTGGACTTGATTAGGAAAGCCACACACCTGTCTATATAAGACCTTACAGCTCACAGTGCATGTCAGAGCAAATGAGAATCATGAGGTCAAAGGAACGGCCTGAAGAGCTCAGAGACAGAATTGAGGCAAGGCACAGATCTGGCCAAGGTTACAAAAAAAATTCTGCTGCACTTAAGGTACCTAAGAGCACAGTGGCCTCCATAATCCTTAAATGGAAGATATTAGGGCAGTTTATTTCGTTAACTTAATTAATTATGAAAATATAATGCAATTAAAATATATTTTAACGCAGTTAACACACTGGCCCCACCCCCACACCTGTACGTCATCTTACATTTCATACAGTTGACTGTTGACAAATTATATGATGCAGGCAAACAACTCCGTAAATGCAGTTATACCCTAAAATTCAAAATATTGGGACAAAAAATGCCCCTGTATGAGTTTTTGTCTCATATTTATATCATATGATAGGCGATATCACACGAGCAGCGAGAGCAACACGAGTGCTGCTTATGTCCGAATACCACAAGTTTTTATAGTTCAGTTCAACAGTTCAGTAAATAAGAAGTTAATATTGTTTTATATTTTAAACACAATATTGTATGTCTTTGCTCAGTTTTTCCAACAAAAATATTAAAGCCACAACAGAATTGTTGTGTGTCTCAGAGCAAAATGATGAATGAAAATTAATGAATCCACGTTTTGAACGAATTGGTTGAATCAAAGCCCCATCATAAAGTGAGGCCCTGTCCCAAATGGCACCTTAAAGGGTTAGTTCACCCAAAAATGAAAAGGAGCCCATAAATTACTTGCCCTCAAGTCATCCTAGGTGTATATGACTTTCTTTTTTCAGACGAATCCAGTCGGAGTTATATTAAAAATTGTCTTTGATCTTTCAAGCTGTTTCATGGCACTCAGCGGGTGTTGCATGCATCAGTCCAAAAGCATTTTCTCACACGGCTCCGGGGGGTGAACAAAGGCCTTCTGTAGCGAATCGATGCGTTTTTGTAAGAAAAATTTCCATATTCAAAACGTAATAATCACTTTAATGTAGCTTGCGCCAACAGTTGTAAACGGAAGCGGTTCCGGGAGGATGACGTATGAGTTCAGCTTTGCTCATGTGCCGGTGAGTCTCGTGAAAACCAACGTTTGTTAACAGGAGCAAAGGAAGCAAAGTTTCCTTACTTTAGCAAAGGAACACCAGTCTCCTCTTGGCTTATATCGAAATCCTCTGACATTCTTCTTTACAAATCCTCGTTTTGTACTTCTAATAAGTGACCGTTGTTTTGTTTTGATCTCTCCCTGTGCTTCCGTGTTTGTCACTTCTGAGCAGCACATGCACAGCGCTGAACTCATACGTCATCCTCCCGGAGCTGCTTCCGTGTACAACAGTGAGCGAAAGCTACATTAAAGTGATTATTAAGTTTTGAATATGGATATTTTTCTTACAAAAACGCATCGATTCACTACAGAAGGCCTTTGTTCACCCCCCGGATGCCTTGTGAGACACTTATTTTTATGGATGGGCGCATTTTAATTAAGTGCTTTTGGACTGATGCATGCAACACCCGCCGAGTGCCGTGAAACAGCTTGAAAGATCAAAGACAATTTTTAATATAACTCCGACTGGATTCGTCTGAAAGAAGAAAGTCATATACACCTAGGATGACTAGGGTGAGTAATTTATGGGCTAATTTTCATTTTTGGGTGAACTAACCCTTTAAACCTTCACGGATTTCCTCAAGAGTCTGCACTTTCGTGACATAATGCCGCTTTGACTGCCAGGTAGAAGTCCAGTAGCCCCTCACTGCAGAACAAAGTTCTAGGGGGTGGAGATGGGTGGGTTTAGGGATCAGGGGTGGAGGACGGGTAGGTTTAGGTATATCTAAGGTGGGAGGAGTTGGCCTTGTGAGACACTTATTTTTATGGATGGGCGCATTTTAATTAAGTGCTTTTGGACTGATGCATGCAACACCCGCCGAGTGCCGTGAAACAGCTTGAAAGATCAAAGACAATTTTTAATATAACTCCGACTGGATTCGTCTGAAAGAAGAAAGTCATATACACCTAGGATGACTAGGGTGAGTAATTTATGGGCTAATTTTCATTTTTGGGTGAACTAACCCTTTAAACCTTCACGGATTTCCTCAAGAGTCTGCACTTTCGTGACATAATGCCGCTTTGACTGCCAGGTAGAAGTCTAGTAGCCCCTCACTGCAGAACAAAGATCCAGGAGGTGGGGTTGGATCCACTTCTAGGGGGTGGAGATGGGTGGGTTTAGGGATCAGGGGTGGAGGACGGGTAGGTTTAGGTATATCTAAGGTGGGAGGAGTTGGATCTGGATCCAACCTCGCCCCCTGGATCTTGTGTTCTGCAGTGAGGACCATCTTTAGAAGTCGACTGCTTAGCTCACCGGCTTGCGGGTTCAGCAGAAGTGGGCACTCGTGAGCACCCTTCTGAATTTTAAAATGATGAATGGGACACCCTACGGCAGGGGTAGGCAACGTCAGTCCTAGAGTGTCGATGTCCTGCAGAGCTTAGCTCTAACCTTAATCAAACACACCTGAACAAGCTAATTAAGGTCTTCAGAATTAGTAAGGCTACAGGCAGGTGAGGTTTTTTTCAGGGTTGGAGCTAAACTCTGCAGGACATCGGCACTCCAGGACCGATGTTGCCTACCCCTGCCCTACGGTCTCGTGGACTTGACGAACACGCGCACGCCGTGGCCATTGTAAAGCCTGTACTTTCCGCGTGCACGAGCCCGCTAGGGTCTGCTATGGTATGCGTGACGTAAAAATTGTCATCGGAGAGTGTGCGCGGAGGCTCTTCGCGGACATCCGTGTGCCTCCCATTTTTTGTGTCCGTGCGTTAAGTAGGCTACAAAAGCACCAACTGCGCATGCGCAGGCTGTGTGAAGAAGCCCGTTGCTACTCGAACCTGTACAATCCGTTGATTAAACAATATAAAGACAGCCAGATGTGCAATAAATCTGGGCAACTGTTTGCTCACATGTTTGTTTACTGTACAAGCCGATCTACATGCACATGTATGGAACACGTCCGCGGAGCGGACCATCAGCGTATGCTTTCGGTAGTATAAATACAAGTAGTCCGCGTTCGCACTGTCCATGTACGCGTCCGGATTGCTCATGCGGAAAGCATAACACAGGCTTAAGTCCTCACGACCGAAAGTGCACATGAAGTGTTCCATTTGGGACAGGGCCTGAGCCGTTTACTAAATTCCTGAATGAATTAGCCATTTGAACGATTCACATGAACGAATGAATGACTCATAAAGACATTTACCGCCACCTGCTGGCAGTTTTAATTTCTTATTTAGATTATCACTGTATTATTTCATTTCAAATAAAAATAAATAATGTCATTTACTCAAACCTGAATGATTTACTTTCTCTTAAGGAACATAAAAGAAGGTATTTTGAAGATGGTAACAAAGCTGTTTAATTTACAGCCCTTATATATATATATATATATATGAACTAGATTCCTTCTTTACCTACAAAACCTTCGGATCCAACCATTTTTAAAGCCAGTTTGTCTGCCAGAATGGAAGGACTGCCTTGGGCAATATCAGCTAATGGGCTGGTGTGAAGAAACACTGGTGTACCCTAGAGAGAAAGACTGAGATGTGCTGAGACAGAATCTGACAGAGCTGAAATAATTAAATAAGAAGGATTCTGTGTGCAGTGATTCTAAAATATTTATACAGAAAATATGACAATGACATTTTCAGTGGTTATGTAACATTATGCGCTATTAAATCTTACCTCTACAGTTTGCATCAAGACAGGTTTCAGGGTACCTTTCAATAGCATGGCCAACGGACCACTCACATCCTGTGATGACAAGGTTGTGTAGATTAGATCCCACACATATACAGACACACACAAACACGTGAACACACATACTGACTAAATCCTCTGTGGTGACGGGATCTCCAGATTTGCTTGTAGCGACTACTATCTTGGCCAGCCTCTGCTGCATCTCCTCCACACTGCTGCTGAGTGACAGTATAGCCATGATCTCATTTTCCAGAGAGCCAGGATCCTGAACAGTGCAGACACCCATTAAAAAGAACAAATCCCTTAATTACCTTTTCAAAAAAGGCACTAGGACAAATTGAAATTATGACACAGATACATACTGTTGCAGTGTCTGGGTCAATGTCTAATCGGACAAAACGTCTTATCTCGGTTCCTGTGAAGGTCAAGGGGTCGGATTTCTCAATGCCCAGTTTCTACAGGTCATGAAGGACACTGTGACCATGTCATCATACTTCTGCAATGGATTTGAAATTAATATCTTACTATAGACTGTGTTTTCTATGACTTACCTTCATTCGGTTGAGCTGTGCTGGAGAAAAGGACCTTTGCCCCCTTCTGAGAGGAACCAACAGGTCAAACAAAACCTGCAAGATTTAAATGTGTGAGATCATACCAAATGCAAACTGTACAAACACATGAGTATAAACACACACACACACACACCAAACACAAACCTGACCTTCTCAGAGAGCTTGGTCTCATAGTGAGCATGTGCTTTAATAGTGTCCATCACCACTTTACTGGCAGCAGAAATGAGCTCATTTTGACCTGAAGACTGAAGGCTGACCTGGGATCAATGTGTTGGAAAATATTCACGTTTCATTTGATGAGATATATTTTAAAATCTCTTTTGCAAAAGGGTCTCAAACAAACCTCCTCCAACGGGACAATCTGAGAATATCCACCTCCAACAGCAATCCCTGTGAACAAAATGAACCCATGACCTCAAGTGAAAAAGAAAAAAAAACATATAATACACTTGTGTTATAAAAGCCTGTTTTCGTCTCAAGAATCTAAAATAAAATGGGTAATTGCTAGTTTTGTGAATAAACTTTAAAATAAGAAATAAGCCACACTGTGAGACAAAGCTGCACTGCAAGAAAAAACAGTCCCAATTTTAAGAAATAGTCGCATTTATGAGAAATAAATTCACAAATGTTTGAAATCAGTTTACAATTGTGAGAAATTAAGTTGAAACAGGCTTTCACATAGATCAATGAGATTGTAAATCAGCAATGATTTTATAGCATCTCATAAATTATTTTTAAATCTCATAATTTCATCTTTTTGTCACAATTTCATCGTAGTTGATATAATAATTCCGTCTTTGTATGACTATTGACTTTTGTCATAATTATAATTTTCATCTCAATTTATTTATATAACTGTTTGTCAGGGGGTTTTCATCTTATAATTTTGTACTTTTAATGACTTTAAAAGTCATAATTATGACTTTTTATGTCATTATTTTTTATCACATCTTTTTTATCACATTATTATGACTTAGTGTGTAACAAGTTTGGATTTTTTCTTATTCAGAGGAAATTGGCTTCCAATGATATATATCAACTTGTCTAATAATTCTGCACACACTGTAATCTTAGAAACCTGGGGGGAAAAAAGTTTGTCCCTCACTCACCCCTAGCACCAAAACAGGATCCTGGGGTAGGCTCTTGCACGCAAGCAAAAGCGTTGATATTCAGGTGGGCCCCTAAAGCCTGAGCCAGTCCGAGAGCGGTGGTGCGCTTTCCCTCGCCCAATGGAGTAGAAGTAATTCTGGTCACAATAACAAAATGAACTGACTTTGAAAGCATTATGTTTGTTGTTGAATTGCTCGACGACAGAGCTTAAGCTGGATGTGAATGCAGTGTGTGATCCATGCTTAATGAAGTGTTGTAAGATCCCATTTGGCGCTTGTGAAAAGTTACTACACTATAAGATTATGTTAATGCACATAATTATATTTCAGGATGCATCGTATTTCTGAAAATGTTGGCATATTATAAGATCTATATCATATTTATAGAATAATTCCAACACCTAATATGGCAACTGTAACGTTTCTGAAAGAGGCATGTTTCTTTCTTTTATCTAGAGCAGGACTGAGTTGTTGTTTTTTTGCACCAGCATTAAAAATATATTTCTTTTACAGTGTGATTTGAGTTAAGAGTTAGTTCACCCACAAATTAAAATTATGTCATTAATTACTCAACCTCAAGTCGTTCCAAACCCATAAGACCTTCGTTCATCTTCTGAACTCAAATTAAGATATTTTTGATGAAATCCGAGAGCTTTCTGACCCTACATAGACAGCAATACAACTGACATGTTCAAGGCCCAGAAAGGTAGTAAGGAGATAGGTAAAATAGTCCATGTGACAGTGGTTCAACCCTAATTTTATGAAGCTACAAGAATACTTTTTGTGTGCAAAGAAAACAAAAATAACAACTTTATTCAACCATTTCTTCTCTTCCATGTCAGTCTTTGCAGTGCGTTCACAAGAGTACCATGACAAATGCGTGTGGTGCTGCTGCGTTCAGACATAGAACCCGGATGTTCTGCGCCTAGTTTACAAGCAGAGGAAGATGCACACTGTGCATAAAAACATGTAAACATGTCTGAAGATTTCGACAGAGAGGATGACTTACAATTTTTGCCCAGCCTTACTTAAATCCAACCAGATTATACAAATGATGAACTAAGAGAGTTGGACGTACATCGGAACGCCATTTCCTGCGTCAGCAGCATCACATGCATGCATGGTGGTACTCTCATGAACGTGTGTCGAAGACTGACACGGAAGAGAAAAAACTGTTGAATAAAGTAGTTATTTTTGTTTTCTTTGCACACAAAAAGTATTCTTGTAGCTTCATAAAATTAGGGTTGAACCACTGTCACATGGACTATTTTACCTATCTCCTTACTACCTTTCTGGGCCTTGAACATGTCAGTTGTATTGCTGTCTATGTAGGGTCAGAAAGCTCTCGGATTTCATCAAAAATGTCTTAATTTGTGTTCTGAAAATGAGTGAACGTCTTAAAGGTTTGGAACGACATGAAGGTGAGTAATTAATGACAGAATCTTAATTTTTGGGTGAACTAAACCTTTAAAGAAGCAAGCTGACAGCACTGTTGCAAAATTGTATTATTGATTTGAAATATATTATTGAAACAATCTTGACAAAGAGTTTTGCACATTTCAGTCTTTCTGCTTCACGTTTCCTATTAAAAGTTTCCTATTAAAATGATAACCAGCAGCTTCTAGTCAAAAAGCTCAATATAGCTCCCGTCAGTAATCACAATAAACACATTTTTAATCACATACGGTAACGCAAGTGATCTATTTCCCATAACTATGAAGCATAAATTTGATGAAACTCTCATAGGATGTCTCAAGAGCCTGTAGGTGAATATTGCGTATTTGTGCAGATTTTAGACTCAGTTGCCCCTCAAAACTATTTTTACTTAGACAACTCATCTGAAATCAGTAAAAAGGCCAATATCCACAAACATCAAGAAAAAGGGCCTTTGGCCTTCTGACTCTTGAGTGGAAAAAAACAGATAAGGGAGCCAAATAGAGTGATTAGACCTGTAAACTAGACCTAGCAGAGACCCAATGGATCAAACGATGAGGGGAAAAAAGTGTGTAAAATGCAACAACTTGACCATGTAAAGAAAAAAGTCTGCACTACCTGTCTATTCCAGTCAGTTTAAATAAATCCACTATCAGGCCCATTTTTCTGGGCTTGCTTCTCAAACATACATTTCAAGCAAATAACACCTACCCATCCACATCTTTCTCTGGGGCCACAGCATTGGTTACTTTCTCTGCGTTTATTGTGTTGATAGAGTCAAGTGATAGTTGTACGATGAGGCCATGGACCGCAGGATTCTCATTTACTGCAACTATACTTCGCAGGACCTTAAGAAAATCAGTGGGATCAGCCTTCAGAATCGAATCCTTTTTGTCCCAAAATAGTTTCATTTGCTATTTGCCATATTTATTTAATAGCTCAGAATGCATTTATCTATTCCAAACACTGACCAAAACTAGATCCGAATGAACTGCAGGGTTCAAAGTTGATATGAACTGAAGACGTCCAAAGGCTCTAATTTTCATTATAATGAGTTGTAAGTAATGCCGCATGGACATATAAAGAGAGAAAGGACGTAAAACAAGACAAGGCGAATCACATTGTTGTTATTGCTTGGGGCATGTTTCTCTTACTTCATCCTCTGTGGCTGTCTCGGGAAGCCTAATGTGGTTCGCATTGATTCCAATCTATGCAAGAGAGGAAGACAGTGTCAGCAAGAGGTTTATGATAAACTTGATTTCTGTTTATTAAATCAGCTCACTGAACCTCAGCCGCTGCCTTGAGCTTCATGCTGATGTAGAGGTTTGAGTCATCTCTGTCCCCAACCTACAACAAAACAAAGGGTATACGAGTGTGTGAAAAGAGTACAAAAAGTACAAATGTAATTGATCTAATGTGCATAAATTATATATTGTTTGTTTAATACTTTTAGGCATTTTACATTTTTATGTCCTATAAAAACAGAATCAGCAAACAACTCACTCAAATGTAACACTGATTTCAATTTTACAAAATAATGGTGTATTATGTAAATGCCTAATGTTGTAATATTTCTGTGAAAATGTTTTTCTCAAAAGTATGTGTAATGTTCTACTATTTATGTGCAAATATAAAAATGCATTAATTTTTTTTTTAAAAAGCAAAACATTTTGGTGTAAATGTTTTATATATTTAATACATTTAATATTTATGAACATTCATGAATACATAAACATTATAAAAATATTTGTAATATATAATATTGCATTTTGATACCGAAATTTAAATGCATTTTTTTCTAAAGATTTAAATCTGGTTATGGTCAAAAATGTTTTGATCAAAACAGACCAAAAATATTTATAAGAACAACAAAACAAACACAGTTCGGGCAGTGATATTATTATGGTCCAAGATATGAGTCACACACCATATCAATGTTATCTTATCATGGTCACCTTAAACTAACACAACTTTCTTTCACGTTGCACACTTATGCATTTATCAACACATGACCATGAAGCCATAGGGAGATTATCTATTTTAACACAACACCCACAGCCGGGAGAGAAAAGAAAATGGCACATTACCAAATGACCATCTGGAGTAGCACGAAAGAAAAAAAGAATAGAGAAGAAAGATGAGTCAGATTATCAGGAGGGGGAAAAAAATTATACAGCAAGCTATCACCACAAGGTTTATTATAATGAGAGAGAGGACCAGACAAACCTGCAGGACAACCAAGCCAGGCCTGAAGCCTGGGAACTGATTCTTCATCTCTGCTACCTCCTTCTTCAGTCGCTCCTTCACCTGTCTGGACATAAAGTGAAGAATGGCATTAAATCTAACTAAAGGGTCTTAAAAAGGGTATTTTGAATTATTGTTTGATCTCAAATAATAAATGAACACATGTATTTAACAAAAGTACTATATAAGTTGATAAAGCTGAACTTCACCTAAATGTTTTAATGTCCTTCTCATAAAGTGTATAAAGGACAATTAAAATATAATATACATTGATAATGATTAATAACAATGGCAGTGCAACGTAAATATAAGGTATGTAAATAATTATATTAATAGATTATTACATATTATATACTGAAGTTTGGGGTCTGTAAGATTCTCACCAAGGCTGCACTTATTTGACACAGTAAAAGCAGAAATATTATGAAATATCATTACAATTTAAAGAACTATTTTATATTTTAATATATTTGAAAATGTAATATATTCCTTTAATGGCAAAGAAGATTTTGGTAAATCATTACTTCAGTCTTCAGTGTCACATGATCATTCTAATATACTGATTTGAAACATTTCTTATTATTATCAATGTTGAAAATAATTGTGCTATTAAATATTTTTGGTACAATTATTTTTTCAAGATTTGTTGATGAACAGAAAGCACAAAAAAAACAAAAACACGTTCATTTAATTTTGTAATAATGTAAAAGTCTTTGTAAAAGTGTCACGTTTGATCAAAATTACTTCTTTAAAAAAAATTACTGACCCCAAACTTTTCAAAGACAGTAGTGTATATATTGACTTAATAATAAATTATCATATCATTTAATAATTAGATTAAAAAAATTAAATTAATATATTATGAGCATAAAAATGCAACACTCAATTTGATACAATTTGTAACATCTCTGTATCCAAAAAAGGAGGTCCTTGGCCTAAAAAGGCACCTGATCCACCTGATCTGCAGGGGCCCTCGAACTCACTGTGAGGTCTTGTTTCCAGATACAATGGTTGTCATGGTGCACTGGCAGTCCCGGTATCTCAAAGCTCCCCGCCGGAGCACAGAGGCAGTGACGGCAAACATCTCCAGCTACTACTAAGCACAACACAGCGGCAAAGTTAGTAAGAAAACATAATAGAGAGAAAAAAGCACCTGAAATTAGAGTTGCTTCAGTATTCTACACATATCAAGACCTGTCCTGTGGGAAAACGTAGCCTGCACAGCCACTCCTCCCTCTCTGCTTTCTGCAAGCGTCTCCTCTGCTGTCACAGGAAACTGTGCAGTGTGCAGCTCCCAAACCAGAGTGTTATCACTGGATCCAGCTGCGGCATTCCAGACTATTCCAGCACGAGTGGGCAAGCAAGCTGATAAAGGAGCCCTGTCAAGGCTGCAAAGCTTAGACAAACTCAAACAATCACATGGTTTGCGGAAAAAGCATGCACAGGGCCAAAGAGGTTAAAATACAACTGCTGGGCTGTGGAGGAAGTGGGCTGTTCCATAGCGAAGAGCCAGGCAGCCAATCAGGGATGCTTTGAGCTGGGACAGGAACAGTCTTGGGACTCTGAGCTCTGTCTCCTCCTCTACTTTCTGCCTGTAAAAAGACTCCAGCATGTGATTTCCGAAACAGAGTACCTCCTTCTCACGCCTCTGTAAGCAGCCCAAAGCCTTCAAAACAGCTGTCAATCAAACAACCTCTGGGAGGAGTCGAGTGCAAGAAGTCTAAACACTAGATTTTTGTTCATGTGCTGCCTGCAGACAAACTCATAGAAGCATTTGTTTGTTTTAAGGCATTTCTGCCACGATGCTGAAAATAATATAGGGGCAATGTCTTAAAACTTTGTATGTTTGGAGTGTTATAGATTTCATTGGCACTCTTTAAATACATTTCTGGCACAACCACAGACAAATTCAATTACTAAAACATATGCATATGCTATTACATATCTGACATATCCAGTCCAAGTGGAGAAAATGTAGACAACATAAAACTCCAGGAACATCATGACACGTTTCTCCACTAGCTTTCTGTAAAAACAAACAAACGAAATGGTTTGTTGTTGTTACTTTAGCGCCCTCTAGTGAGAAACTGTTAGATAACAACTTTGAAATGTTCACTCTGTAGACTCATTCATATAAAGGGGTCATATGATGCTGCTAAAAAGAACATTATTTGGTGTATTTGGTGTAATGAAATGTGTTTATGTGGTTTAAAGCTCAAAAAACACATTATTTTCCACATACTGTACATTATTGTTTCTCCTCTATGCCCCGCCTTTTTGAAATGCGTCGATTTTTACAAAGCTCATCGGTCTGAAAAGCGAGGTGTGCTGTGATTGGCCAGCTATCCAGTGCGATGTGATTGGCCGAATACCTCAAGCGTGTGACAGAAATGTTACGCCCCTCACATGATGCCGTATCCGGCCAGAGCAACGAGACAAAAACATTAAAACCCATTACAAACGAGGCATTTGTTGCATCCAGTGGGGACATAATTACTGATTATAATGACTTATACTGTCTTTTTACATTGCATCGCGCTGCGTAAACATAAAACTCTGTCTGCATTTGTGATCGGAGAAATGACAAACAACAAGTGCTACTCTACTGCCCAAAACTCGCGTTTGAATCATCAGTGGCAACGAAAAACACAGCGGCCTAGCGTGAGGGGAAGCCCCGGCTTAGCGTGCGCTGAGGCCGGGATAGAGTGAGCTGAGGCGGGCTGGAATCTGCTTTGTCCACGGTGAAAGTTTATGTATTTCCTCAGCTCCAGGCATGACTAAGCGGATATCGTCCTCTTTTGGAAGACCAAACAAAGTAGTTTCGCTTTCACAACCAAGCACACAGCGTCTTCAGGACATGGCGGCAGCAACAATACTACAGTTACGCCTTCTTTCTTTGCGTGAACATTTGGGCGCGTTATGCAAACCTTCCCAGATCGTGACGTAGACATGTGGGGGCGTGTTAGAACGAGCTGTTTAGGTAGGCGTGGTTGACTCTTAACTTTTATAAAGAATATCTCTTTGGTTTTGAGACTTTAGTATTTGCAACTTTACAGATCTTCTTTATGCACCAAGAGCTTGTAACACTCCAAAGAGAAAGGAAAAATTTAAATCGCATCATATGACCCCTTTAATCTATGCCCATTGTATTCAATATGTGACGGGTGTTTATTCACTTTATTTTCGGGCAGATTCTTTTTGTCACACTTTTACACAATGTCTTCACAATAAATAAATCAAACTAAGCAGAGTATAATTACAAATAATTTTTTTTTTCTCCAAAAAATATGACTATTGCTCAGATGTGGTGTAATTTCTAACACAACCAACAATTTCATCTTAATACATAAATGTCTTCACAATAAATAAATCAAACTAAGCAGAGTATAATTACAAATAATTTTTTTTTCTCCAAAAAATATGACTATTGCTCAGATGTGGTGTAATTTCTAACACAACCAACAATTTCATCTTAATACATAAAACAAACAAACAAACAAAAACAAATCTGTTGTGATAACTTATGTTATCTACATACTTTTCTATTTGAAAACACATTCATTCAGATGTTCAACCAACTGTCCAGTCGAAAAAATTTGCGTGATTTTGCATAAGTGTATCTACTGTGTTTTTATACAGTTCTAAATAAATAAATAGAAAAGCAGAACAATTTTATTCAGCAAGGGTGCCATCAATTGAGTAAAGATATTTCGAAAGTATTTTTCTATATCAAATAAATGCTCTTCTTTTGAACTGTCTATTCATCAGAGAATCCTAAAAAAAAAAGTTTCATTTTTGCAATTTTATTCATCATTGATGATAACACTAAGAAATGTTTCTTGAACAGCAAATCAGCATATTAAAATGATTTCTGAAGAATCGTGTGACACTGAAGCCTGGAGTAATGATGCTGAAAATTCAGCTTTGCCATCACAGGAATAAATTACATTTTTAAAATATATACTAAATATAAAACAGTCATTTTACATTGTAACGTCATACTGTGCTTAAAGACTTTGAAAATAAATACACCTACATTAAGGTTAAAAATAAATAAATAAATAAATAAATAAATATCCCCCGACTGCAAGGAGCAAGTATTTCCAAGTAATAATAATAAAAATGTAATGTCTAACAGTCCCAGCAGCTAAAAGCTAAGATTTCTCTGACCACTAGGAGGCAACATCGTGTTAGGTATTAATGTAAGTGTCAGGTTAACTGCTCCAGATCATTTAATGACAAATATAAACCCAGTAAAGAACACATTTGAAAAGATGTAGCTTACTTTTTATATAAATGCTATTATTTCTCAACAGAAGGTTGACACATGCATTTCCTCTTAAATAAAATGTATTTCATTGAATGTAAACTTAATGTAAACAGATTTAATAGAACAACAATGAAACAAAAAAACACTGCAGTCTACAAAGAAAATCACATCAATGTATGTTAATCTTTTAAACCACAACTGTGCTTTTCTCATACACAGCCCAAACCCTGATGTCTCATCATGTGAATCCTCACAAATGAACAGTCTGGCTATTCACCATGCAGATCCACCAGGCTCTCCAGAACACCATTAGTGTCCTATAAGCATTAAAATCATTAGGATTATTTCCTGCTCAAGGGACATTAGAGTGTAATTGCTCTGGTCTAACTGATCTTGTTAGCTAAATAATATAAGCCTGACTTCCTCCTGGTGCTGTGGACAAAATATGTGAAGAGTGATTTTACATTTACACACATCGCTAGAAGTAGGCCCATTACATCAAGCAACACGAGTCACTGAGACGCCACTGACCCAGAACTCCTGAACTGATGATCAAACCAGGGCTGGAAACTGGGTACAAATACACAGTTAATCCATCGCCAAAGGTGTAGAATAAACCAGAATGCCTTTGCATTGCATACCAGTTAATATTAGTACAAACCCAATGAAATGTTTTCATTGATTTTCTACTTCTTATTTGCCTTCAAAACCTACTGAACAGGCTACTCAAATCCCTCAAGACCCACACAAGTTCTCTGGCAGTGGTATGTTATCAGTTCATAAAAGCAGGACAAAATAAAATAATTTTGCAGCTTCAAGTTACATACAGTATACAGCTTCCATAAAGTATCCACAAAAAATATTCAGCAGCACTACTTTTTTCAACATCGATAATAATAAGAAATGATTCTTGAGCACCAAATCAAAATATTATAATGTTTTCTGAAGGATCATGTGAAAATGAAGACTGGAGTAATGGCGGCTGAATTCATTGCCATCATGCGAAAAAAAAAAATAAAAATTAAATTTGTAATATATTATTTCACAACATTATTGTTCACTGTATTTTGTCAATAAAAAAATGCAACCTTAGCAAGCATAAAACACTTCTTCATAAAAACCCCATGATACATAAGTTATAATGCACAAACATTATTTATATTCTTTTATTTATAAAATAATAAATAAGAATGTAATACTATTTAACTCTTTTAATCATATAGAATTTTTTTTTTTAATGTAATTTTCCCAGTGCAAAAAAAAAAAGCAAAACAAATGAGAAGAAAAAAGGGATTGCACCTAACCTTGCTTACAATTAAGAGCTGAAATTGCATTTTTCCTCAACATATAATTATACATCTTCAGTTGTTTAAAATGACGTGGCTAGCTGAGAAAGCCCTGATTCCTGATGCAATCACATGAAATCATTCAAAGGGGCATCCCCCATGTGATGACAGATATTCTCATAGTTTTGTGACACTCCTCCACCAGCTCTTCCTCTAGAGCCTGAATGTTCCCTCTCAGACACACCTTTTCTGACAAGCTCAAACTTGCATATGACATGACGCTAATAGTACTAAGAACTGTGTGGGTGTATGTGGGGGCAGCTTGCTTGTTGAGCAGATTGGCCCATATGAAAATGACATCCTTATCAGGGTGGAAGCATTCCCCAGAGAAACATGAGCTAGCCAAAACACAGATAGAGAAGGAAAGTTGAAGAGATTGTTACATGTTTTACATATACACAGTAGTTAATGTGATTTCAGTGCTTGGAGACACACAGACATGCACATGTTCTCTGCAATATGCAAAGATGGTCCAATTATCTGAGTTCGTTTGGCCTTCTGCAACATTTTCTTTCTTTTTTCATCTAAAGTAATGGACTGGAAATCACAGAGCACTTTATTAGCACTCTTCTCTTACTTTTGAATTCACTAAGGACAGAGCATTTTCGCGACTCGGTTCTCTATTTTCTGAACCTAGGGGTGTGAAAGCAAATT